TGTGTGCGTGCGTGCAGTGTGTGTGCTGTGATTGTGTGTGTGTGTGTGTGACTGTGTGTGTGCGATGCCGCACGAGTTGTGTGCTGTGTGTGCTGTGTGTGTGGCTGCGCGTGTGTGTATGTGATGTGGTGTGCGCGTGCGTGGCGTGTGCGAATGTGTGTGCTTGTGTGTGTGCGCAGCGCGCGACGCGTGTGTGTGTGTGTGGCATGTGTGTGTGTGCTGGTGTGTGTGGGCCGTGATGCTGTGCGCTGCGCTGCGTGCGTGCGCTGCGTGCGTGCGCGCGTGTGTACAGCTGCTCACACTGCTTTACAGACGTAGCAGTGGGAGCGTATGAGAGCAGCGCGGCGGTGGTGCTGGCCGCCCGACCCGTGCTGGACACTGACGTCGCCATGACCTTTAACCCCAGCTACGTGAACACAGCCGAGAAGAAATGCCGCAACAGCAAGAACCAGCCCGTACCATGCGTCGACGCTACGACGTGCTTCACCTACACGGGCGCCTATGTGCCCGTGTCTGTCGGTACGACAACATTCCGTTCACACAGGAGCTAGTAGCGAGCTCCTGCGAACAACTCCCTCCCTGGAGGTGTGAGATCCTAGCAGTATAGTATTTCCTGGAGCATATTCTTCCAGGGAGGTGTGAGCTCCCGGTAGTATTCTATTTCCTGTGCGGTGTGAGTTCCTATGAGCATCCTGGTACATTTTCATCCTTGGAATTCCTTGGTTTATAAGTTCTTAGGGTTATTCCTTCCTGGGACGATTTCTTCTTCAGAGGTGTAAACTGCCTGGAGCATTTTTTCTCTGGAGGTGTAAGTTAGCGGGGGGTATACTTTTTCCTGAAGCATTCTCTTCATGGGGTGAAATCCATGGAGTAATTTCCTCCTTGGTGGTCGCGGGTCTCCATCTTTCCTTCTAAGAATAGAATTTAATTTTCTCATCTATTTGGAGTGGTCACGGTAAGAACGTTGGGGTTTTTTCTTTCAGAATTTTACTACACAATCACGAGTGTTACCAAAGTTGGATTTCCCGTCAGAGCCGTCTTTAGTGTTAACGGCAAAGAGGTGGATAAGGTGGAAGGGCCCATCCAACTATTACGAGGCTCCCGCAACTGCGTCACGCACAAGATCCTCATTAGCGTAAGCAAGCATTTCACTCCATATACTCAATTCGATTCCATTCTATTCAACTTATTTTATTTACACTTATGAATTACATTTGGGAGGTAACATAATAGTTAAACAAGTAAATAGACAATGCTGATAAAATTAAAACAAATAAAACTAAATAAATAGAAGTGATGACGAGGCGAAATGACAAGTCAGTCTTCTAGACAGCCACAACACGTAGATTACGAATTTAGCAGCCTACGTGTTAGGACGGTTGGTAAAAGCTTTCTGAACGCACGCCGTTGTGGCATCGTAGAACCTCGTAGAATATATCACGCAAACAAGTTTACTACTGCGAACGTGGTGGAAATTTCTATTGCAAGTCATTTAGGTGTGCCAGAGTTATTGCTTATGTTGTCATTGTTAACAAAAGCTGTTGGTTCGTGAACACTGCTGCGAAAGTTTTAGCAAAAATACCATGCTCAAGTACTCTTGTTTCATCCTATTCTTAGTTGCTAGTGGCCGACGGGTGTACAACTTTTGTACTGATCCATTACTGTGTGAAGAGAAAATATATTTCGCCCCGCCAGCCAATATCCTGCATATTGCAGCCATATGTCCACGGCACGTGTAATATGAACAACCCACTTATATGTAGGCCACTATCATTCGTGGCGCACGCAGATTTCAGGCCGGATTCGGGGCAGAGTTTTAAGATTGCAGTCAACCAACTCTAAATAGTACCTGATCAAAATTTTGACTTATGAATCGTTATGTTTTTCACATAAAATTACGACGTAGGATGAGTGAGAAGTACATTTCGTCATCTGCCACGTTCGCGTCACAAATTTCGACGTTGGCTTCAATCGTTTCGAACAAAGATGTCGACGACGCCATCACAGAACATAATATAAGAATTCGATAGAATAATAATATATAATGCTAACAATAATTCGATAATTTCGCTGCTCTTACAGAACGACATCAGAGATAAGCTGAACCCGCTAACGTTCACGATCGACTACGCTGTGAACGGTGATCGGGCTTACTCTACCGGTGAAGCCTTCCCTGTCCTGCCTCCAGTCATCAGCGCTAACAGCCTCATGCACATCATCGAGCAGGTGTGAATATATGCATGTCTCCCTCTGTCCACTAATTCTTTTCATCTGCGCTGAAACTGAGACGAGAGGAAGGGCTAGCCGGAGGAGGAGGAGGAGGAGGAGGAGGAGTAAGATGATGATGATGATGAGGAGGAGGAGGAGGAGGAGGAGGAGGAAGAAGAAGATGAGGAAAAGGAGGAGGAGAAGGAGGAGGAGGAGGAGGGGGAGAAGGAGGATGATGATGATGATGATGAGGAGGAGGAGGAGGAGGAGGAGGAGGAGGAAGAAGAAGATGAGGAAAAGGAGGAGGAGAAGGAGGAGGAGGAGGAGGGGGAGGAGGAGGAGGCGGA